AGTGTGAACCGAGTTCACAGTATCATGTGACTTGTGGCGCAGTAAAATCGGAATATAAAATTCTGATGGCCACATCACATTAAATCACAGAATTTGTCCTAACCACACGCAGAATTTAGTCTTAACCAAAACAGAAAATCATCGGCCCTGCCCTGACTTATGCATAATTCGTAACACATCAATCTGCAACTGATCGTTTCTCGGGGAACAGTTTTTATGTAACAATGTTGTACAATCCGATCACACTAAAAACGCGATTTTTCGATTTTTTTCAAAAAAAACAACACGTCTTTTTCTAATTTATGTGCAAGATTCAATACGCGATTTTTTATTTTCAATAAAAAAAAACAACATGCTTCTTTCTAATTTATAAAAAGATCTGAAGGGTAATTGTAACTTTGTAAATTTCTGTTTAACTGTTTTGCAATTCTGTATATATAACATCTAATGCACCATACCATGTCTATTGTTTCTGCTTATTCCGTCCGAGAAAACTCATCTACCTGCTACGATATTCCATATGAAGAGTACTTCAAATTTTTTCCTTATGAAAAGTGGTCCCTTCAGCATTATGTTTCTTTGATCATCGATAATTATGAACATGCTGAAAGGGACAAGGCCCATCACGCATTTTATAGTACCTTGCTTAAGATTAATGACAATTCAAATGCATCGCAAGAAATTCGTGCTGTGATCCAAAAACTTATAGATAGAAAAAAGGTAAGTGTAATATAGATAATAAATTGATATGGATGGGGTTTTTTAGCCAGGTTCTTGTATCTTATTGGGTTCGTCCTGATAGGTGTAGGGTAATACTTACCCTTGCAAGTACTGATCAAATGCGTTTACTGGGTTCGTCCTGGTAGACATCATGAGATTTATTAACATAAGTTTTTGGTATTCTGCGGTGACTAAGGGTGATTTCTGTGGTTAGCTGTTTTTAAGGGAAATTCTGCTGTTTTCTGCAATCGCAGTAAATCATCGGCCCTGAGTCAGGGTCATGTTTTACCACGTATCAAATTTTATTTATATCTAATGCTATATCGATATTATTTATTAGTATATATATTATCACATTCACATCGCTTATACATTCCATCCGCTACTTTTTTGCATGTCTTACAATATAGGTGCGAATGATGATCACATTCGTCACAAACCTTACATCCGTGTTTCCAGCCTCTAAAGATATGCCACTTTTCGATATACTTTCGGCTTTTTTTATTTGTATATGTACTATTATCGTTATGATTTTTCATCATTTTATATATTAACAGAAGAAAAAATAATTTATACGTGCTAATTTTTTTTATACAATACAAACCTGTTATGTGTGGCACTTGTGTTTGTGACCCATTTACAAACAAATTATGCCTCATAAGGAATTTCTATGATACGTTTCAGATTGAACGAAAGTGGTTTTTTTTATGTACGTATATTAGATAATAACAAATACAGTTATGGTAATACAAAAATCATGGAGAAAGAGTGTGAACCGAGTTCACAGTATCATGTGACTTGTGGCGCAGTAAAATCGGAATATAAAATTCTGATGGCCACATGAAATTACCGTTACTGCTTATTTTTTATAACCGCAACTACTATATGTTCAATGTTATCTTTGCTTAGTTTCGAAATTGTTGAAGCAGAAATACTTACTCGTTGTATCAATTGCTCAATCATGTTATCATTCCCACCAATACTATTAAAAAGTTTATAAATTTTTTGAGCTTTTTCTGTATTTTTTCTAAGTGTTGTCTCAGTAACCTTTTGTGAAAGTTGATTCCTAACTTCATCATTAACGAACATCTTAGCAGTTTGTTTCGGATGAAGAGTTTTATAATAATTTATTCGATTTTTATGTGCTTTTCCAAAATTATAATAGCTCCTAATAACCTCTTGATTCGTTTTTTTATTCTGATTTTCAGCATTAACAATTTTAATATACAAGTCAAGAAAATTAATCGAGTTTGTGCTTATTTCGGAGGCTGATTCTGTTTGAGTAATAGTTTTTACTGGATCCTTAGAAGATAATTCTTTTATAAGCTCTTTCAATATATGTGATTCTTTCTTAACCTGCTTCGTTTTCTTATTAGGTGATTTATCTGATGAGATAGGTTCACTAACACGTTTTTTAGATAGGGTAGAGTTGGATGGATCTTCTCGAGACGTATCTACATCCATTGAATCATCAGGTGGATTTCTAGGAGAATCGAATCCAAGATTACTTTTACCCAAAAGATTCACTAGATCTGAGGTCCCACTAGATTGAGACGATTCATATTCTTTTTGTACAGAAACTGCTGGCTCGACAGATTTGTTGCAACTAGGGCATACATTCGAATCCGTAAGTAAAATTTTTTTCTCAATACAATATCTATGGTATATGTGTCCACATGCGAGGATTGTGAATGGTTCATAATTAAGTGAAAGAATTTTTTTATCACATTCTGAACATGGTGCTAGTTCTGTAATATTAATGTCTTGGACTGTGATATGATTAGTTTCTTTTAAAATATTCAGGGCGAGATTTTGAAGATTAGTAAGAGACATAATTTATTGATATACCAGATAAGTTTTTCATATCAAAAAAAATCCTTATACTTAGCTTATTTTTATAGTTTATTCCTTACGACTAACAAATCTAATTTGTAGATTTTAAAAAGACTAATTTCGGGTTTGGTGATTTGTTCATTTAAGAATTATTTAGTATAAACCAAAGACCGACTGATTTACTGGCAATTGTGACCGATTTACAAATTAGCAATTTATTAACCGAATAAAAATAGCAATGGCGATTTAATCAATATGATTTTGGTGAAGAAATAGATTAGTAAGTTCTTTATATTTTTTTATACGATTCAAACACGAATTAAACCAATATACTTATCTGTTTATATATGTTAATATGTGTCAGAGATACTAGCTCCGCTATAAAGCTCGATAATTAATTTTACCTTTTACTTTACGCTTTCGAATAGGGCGTTTCTTTACTGCTCTAGTCTTATGCGCATGTGTAACTTCTATTTCTGAACTAGATGTGAAAGAATTACTTGAATCGCTGTCCGAAGTATCTGAATTGGAAGAAGTATCCGAATTGGAAGTGCCCGAATCTTTCGATTTCCCAGGAAGTATTTTGTAAAAATCATGAATATCTTTTTTATTAACAGATACTATTACTCTCTCCCCTTTCTTCTCAGTTAGGTTTTTAATACGCAAAGTTGTTCTTACCCAG